TACATTTTCGAATCCGAGAAAAGCTGTTTTGACGGTGTTTGGATTCAGGGTGTAACTCTCGTTCTCGTATTGGTTCTGTCTGTGCAGATATTCATCAACATCGGTATCCTACTCGGATACGTATCGAACTACTTCTTTTCAAAGCTTCCCGAGCATTTGGGATGGAGGTTCATGTTGGGTATCGGAGCCGTGCCGGCCGTGTTTTTGGCCCTCGGGGTGTTGGCAATGCCCGAGTCTCCAAGGTGGCTGGTGATGCAGGGCCGTCTTGGCGACGCCATGAAAGTCCTCGAGAAGACCTCCGACACAAACGAAGAAGCCATCTCGAGATTGGATGATATAAAAAAGGCTGTCGGGATCCCAGCAGAGACGAAGGGAGATGTAATAGAGATTCCTGACAAGAAGAGCCATGGGGAAGGAGTGTGGAGGGACCTCCTCCTCAGGCCTACGCCGACAGTCCGACACATCGTTATCGCCTGCCTTGGTGTTCACTTCTTCCAGCAAACCTCAGGGATCGACGCGGTGGTTCTCTACTCTCCGACCATATTCTCGAAAGCCGGCATTAGATCCAAGAACGACCAACTCCTCGCAACAGTCGCCGTAGGACTCGTCAAGACACTCTTCATCGTGGTCGGGACATGCTTGGTCGACAGATTCGGTCGTCGGATCTTGCTCCTGACAAGTATGGGGGGCATGTTCGTGTCCTTGGTGGCACTCGGGTCGAGCCTCACGGTCATCAACAACAACCCAGGCAAGGACATCGGGTGGGCGGTCAGGTTGAGCGTGACGACAGTGATGACGTTCGTGGCGACGTTCTCGCTCGGGGCAGGGCCGGTGACGTGGGTATACTGTGCGGAGATATTCCCGGTGAGGTTGAGGGCTCAGGGGGCGGGACTCGGAGTGATGCTGAACAGACTCATGAGCGGTACCATCGGAATGACCTTCCTCTCCCTATCTCACGCCCTCACCATTGGAGGCGCCTTCCTGCTCTTCGCCGGAGTGGCGGCCGTGGCTTGGCTCTTCTTCTTCATTGTATTGCCGGAGACCAGAGGGAAGCCATTGGAGGAGGTGGAGAAGCTCTTCGGAAGCTACACCGCCAAAAAGAAGTCGGACGACGGACGGTGACGGAGCGAAGGCAGTGTTTGGTGGAAGTGCCTATCAGTCCATGCAGACACAGATAGGGCCTGGTGGTGGATGATTGGTCTCTCGGCAGCCATAATGCGCCTGAAAGAAAATTGTATGCGACAAGGCATCCTTGTTGGTGCATTCGGCTTTGTTCCTGCCGCTACTTGTTCTTATGGCGTTTTTTATATGTATAATTTGTTACCCTGATAAAAATTTATAATGAAGACAAAAAATAATATTAAAAATCACAGCACCTGATTTATGGTATACGATACATGGTGGTTGTCTATTTAGCCAATGGAATAAAATAAAAAGAAAAAGAAAAGAAAATTTTCATTTTATGTAAAACATTTTTAATCTATTAAAATTTGCACCACATGAATTCATTTTGTCGTTTTTGCTTAATGAAAATTCATTTAGTTAATTTTTAAAATAGAGTCCGACCCTATTTTACACAGTTGACGGGATAAATATCATACTTTAGACTGAAATGAAAATAAAATGTGATTTGTTTAATTATCATATTAAAATTTAAACAATTTATCTGATAAAATTTCATATTCCAACAATTTTTCAACATTATTTTGTCAATAACTACTGTTGAGATAAAGTGACCAAACAATTTATTTGATAATCTTTCATATTCCCTATTGATTTATGTTCTTTAAGAAGAAAGAACCATTGGTTGCTTTTTATTTTAACTTGGATATACAAATATTATATCTACTTATTTGTTCTCTCTGTAATGAAATTTATTTAGAATTTATTCTCCAAACGCTAAAAAAAACGTTGATTGTAACACAATGTATTACGTTGCATAGATTTTGTAGCATATAAAAACAATGCATTTACAACGTAAACAAAAACTTGAATATTTCTTTTTTTTTTGTTAAATTGAAAATTTGAACATTTCGTTGCTTTTGTATTGCATTTTGTATTTAAATTATAATAAAACAAATTTCATTCCACGTGTAACTCTCTGTATCGACAAATTGCATTGCAAATTATGGTGTTGCACGGCATGCAATTGGATTAGCTAGCGTTAGAATTTAGCAATGCAATAATTACGTTGCAACACACATTTATTACGTACCACATTACCTTGCAACACAATTGCATTACAAATTCGCTATGCAATTGTCTTGTAAATCGGAATTTACAATACTACGGCGATTTTTATAACGCTGATTGCGTTACAGTTTTTTTTTTTTGTAAAAAGATTGCGTTACAGTTCTGTTACAATTCAATTTAAAGTTAAAAAAAACTTAGTCAATACAATAACTTATTAGTTTGACCAGTTTTATTTACTTGTTATAGCGTACGTATATAAAATTGGCAAAACTACCACCAAATTCATTAAATATAAAAGTTCCAATTTAATACACAAATTTATTCCACACTAACATATAAAATACAATTATCAAAGTACTTCCATACCATTAATTAATATCGTTAATGGTATATACACAAGCTTATACACATTGCCAAAACACACACACACACATACGTATGTATGCAGAGACATACACATACACATATACAGAGACATATAGATTTATACACATGCACATATACGTATATATACACACTTATTTACCAAGCTTTGAACCACCGGGAGTGCTGCAAGGCAAAACACATTTGTTTGTCGTCCATGTTTATGCAGATGAGACATTGTATAAGTGGATATCGAAGGCGTCGACTCATTGGGAACTAAGTGAATACAAAGGTTGCGATTCTATTTTCTATTGGTTCGATGATCAATATATTATACAATTTGTAACCAAAAGTATGATTTTGTCGAAGCTGTGTTCGAGGATGTTATAGAGTTGGTATGGTTTCATTGGTTTGTACATCGAATCCCTTTTCGCCATAAACACGCACACCTTGTATATAGGTCCGGAGTGGCACCGCCACTCCATCACCGTGCGTCGTCCGATTTCTTTTTGGCGGTGTAACTGCCGAAGAGCTTCTCCACCTCCTCCAATGGCTTCCCTCTGGTCTCCGGCAATACAATGAAGAAGAAGAGCCAAGCCACGGCTGCAACCGCCGCGAAGAGAAGGAAGGCGCCTCCGATGGTGAGGGCGTGAGAGAGAGAGAGGAAGGTCATGCCGATGGTACCGCTCATGAGTCTGTTCAACATCACTCCGAGTCCAGCCCCCTGAGCCCTCAACCTCACCGGAAATATCTCCGAACAGTAAACCCACGTCACTGGCCCTGCCCCGAGCGAGAACGTCGCCACGAATGTCATCACTGTTGTCACGCTCAACTTGATTGCCCACCCGATCTCCATGCCCGGGTTTCTGTTGATGACTGTGAGGCTCGATCCGAGTGCCACTAAGGACAGGAACATTCCTCCCATGCTGCTGAGAAGCAAGGCACGACGACCGAACCGGTCGACCAAGCATGTCCCGACCACGATGAATAGCGTCTTGACGAGTCCTACGGCCACGGTTGCAAGGAGTTGGTCGTTCTTGGATCTAATGCCGGCTTTCGAGAAAATGGTCGGAGAGTAGAGAACCACGGCGTCGATCCCTGAGGTTTGCTGGAAGAAGAAGGCCGAGGCAGGCGATAACGATGTGGCGAACAGCCGGTGTGGGCTTGAGGAGGAGGTCCCTCCACACTCCTTCTCCGTGTCTCTTCTTGTTCGGAACCTCTATGACATCTCCCTTCGTCTCTGCTGGGATCCCGACAGCCTTTTTTATATCATCCAATCTCGAGATGGCTTCTTCTTTTGTGTCGGAGGTCTTCTCGAGGACATTCATGGCGTCACCAAGACGGCCCTGCATCACCAGCCACCTTGGAGACTCGGGCATTGCCAACACCCCGATGGCCAAAAACACAGCGGGCACGGCTCCAATCCCCAACATGAACCTCCATCCCAAATGCTCCGGAAGCTTTGCAAAGAAGTAGTTCGAGACGTATCCGAGTAGGATACCAATGTTGATGAATATCTGCACAGACAGAACCAATACGAGAACGAGAGTTACACCCTGAATCATGGTAAAGAAAATGATGAAAATTCGAATTTAGGGTATGAAAGAGCTGAGGAAGCCACGGAAAGCGGGTGGGGCCACTTCTGTTGTGTAGACGGGGGCGATCATCATGGCATAACCGACGCCAACACCGGCAACGAAGCGGCCAACCATGATGAAGGGATAGTTGGTGGAAAATCCCATGAGAAGGGCACCCGCGAAGAAGAAGGATCCGGCCAAGACGATGGTGTACCTTCTCCCGATCCAATCGGACGTCCTTCCGGCCAATCCAGAACCCACGATAGAGTATATGTTGAGGATTCCCATAAAGATTTCGAGCTGCACGTCCGAGAGCTTCAGATCATCTTTTATGAAGATGGAAGCTCCGCTCACCACACCGATATCTGCATCACTCGGAAAGAAACAAACGATGTTTCAAACCCTAGCCCTGGAGATTTGCGAGTGAGAATACCTTCACCGGAAAAGAAGGAAGAGAAAAAGGACTAACCGTAGCCGAGAACGATGGAGGACATGGAGGCCAAGACTGCACAAGCAGTGGCATAAAGCCTATTATTTCGGCCAGATCGCTGAGACGTGACTGTGCCCGTTTCCACTCCATCCATAGTCATCTTCGCCGTCCTTCTTGTTGATTGAGAGGACTTCGAAGGAAGGTGGCGGAATGGGGGAAGCGGGCAAAGGGAGATGTTTCTCGTGGGAGAGGAAATCTTTGGATATTTATAGGCGAGATAGCAGAAAACAGACAACCAGATAAAATGAACTATAAATGGGATATGGCAGACGAGGATTCTGTTTCAACGTTTATCCTTCAACATAATTCAAGGATAGACATTGGATTTAATAGTAGATTCTCTATTTTGGGCAACTTATGACGTGATATTGACTTTGACCGGGTACATGTTAGACATATATTGGAGTAAAATTGAAATACGTAAATAAATTCGAAAATACAAATTCAAAGAGTTGACATAATAAAGAGAAATGATAAAAACGTATTATTATGTATGAAAAATATACTCATCCGACTCAAAAAGATTTGTTTTGAAGTTATTATTGTTTTAGCAAAACAAATATGTAAAACAAAAACTATTCTTCCTAACAAAAAATGGCATAATTAATATTTTTTTATATTAACTAGGGAAAG